TTGCCTTAAACTAATGATAGTTTAAGTGTCTGATTAATAATTGCCTTTTAAGAATGTGATTATGGAAATTATGATTTGGCCTTAGACTAAGAATAGCTAAGAGCATTATTATGATCTGGCCTTAGACTAAGAATAGCTAAGAGCGTTGTTATGATCTGGCCTTAGATTAAGAATAATTTAAGAGCACTATTGCAATAGTATCTGAATTGAATAAAATGTGTTGATATGAACCGAACGATACCAAAACTGTGAATGTCTGAAATGAACATTGTGTGCATGATATCAAATGATTGATTATGAATTTAGATTCAGTTTATATGGATGTTCGACACATTAGATATGCTTACTCAGCTTTACTGCTGAGCGTGTAGTGTATTTTATTTCCTACACGCAGGTAAGCAGAAAGCATAATGTGATCCTGGCGGCAGATGGGGCGAGATTGTCGGGATGGATGTGACAAGTTTTGAAACAATTTATGATATATCAATATTAAAATCGCTTCCGCAATATTGTTGAATACTCTGTACTGTATATGTTATGAAAAATATTATTGGGATTAATAAAGTGTGTTTGAAAAGTTTTGAATTTTTACGATTACCAAGTTAAATACTTTAGTTCGAATGGGGCTGCAGACCTGGACGAATTGGGGTGTTACACCCACTTAGGAATGCAACGTCCTCGCTGCATCCTATTTTTTTAAACCCATAGATCTTCCCCGCTAGGTGAACTAAGCTTTTTTGCCCCGTCACGATCGCAAGGTTGCTCTGATACCATTTGTAACACCCCGGCCCCCACCCTGGCCGTAAGTGTTTGCTCATAGGATTGTAGACTGGTCCCACAAACCAACACAAGTCTTTCCCGCGCAGCTTTCCGGGGTGTTAAATTAATTAATGATTGGGATGGATCCGGAAGTTTGAAAATAGAGTTTTGAGAAAAATAATTCGAAAATATCATAAATTTACTTTTGACTAGTTATTTCCGAAAATGCAATCGGTTTTCAATTCAGGAATGTTCGGGGGGAAACCATGTACCGTTCATGTCAGAATTTACACAACAGAGTGAGATTTAAGGAGGTAACTCCCCAATATTAATTCACACGCCACACAACCACTCATCACCATTCATTCTCCCATTTTAATTCCCATTACTCCTCCCTTTAATTCTCCATTCATTCCCCTCTATTATAACCCCACTCCTCTCCCTTCCAACCCTCCATCATTTTGTAACCCACCAACCATCCAACTCCCTCTCTCTCTGACTTGATTCGACGGACAGCAGCGGCGCATGCATGGAGGAGGAAGGCCGACAAAGGAGGAGGAGAGGAAGAAAAAGAAGGAGGTGCCGATTTTCGGAAGCAAAATCCCGTAAGTCCACTTTGGGCAGAATTTCGACCATCTTCAACTCAGTTTTTGGTCGTGGTTTCTTGACCAAAGTTTTAGCCATGCGAGTCAGTGAACCACAACCGCAAACGGCTCGTCAATCGGACAAGTAACGAAGGTGATACGGCCGTTTTACCAAAACTGGTCCAGTGGCGACGGAAAATGCAAGATTTCCAACTTTAGTATCCATTCTCGTTCCGTCTCATCCCATCCGCTATTCGTTGAATGCATGCAGACTCTTCACAACCCATATAACATATTCGCAAGAATAAACAGAACTCAAGAAGCTGTAGGGAAATCGGAAGGTCAACGGTTTGACAACCGTTCGTTGACGTTGATTCATTCGGTCCCTTCTAACGTTGTGTCATATTCGAGGTATGTACACCTTAGATATAGCGGAGGAATCTTTAATATATTTATATGCAAATACGTTTGTTGCTTACATGGTTATTTGTATATAGATTCATATCATGTTATATTCTTGATCTATTAACGTTGCATAGAGAATAACCAGGATTACAACCGTTATGAAATTGAATGATTATACAAGGCTAAATGGATGTTTGACTCAAATGTAAACAATAAGGATTGTGAAATAAAAGTGGTAGAATGGTTAGATTATGAAGAATATGGTTAGGCTTGAGGAAATACCAATGAATATCGTAATAGCATCACTTGCACTACAAAAAACTGCTGAAATCGCGACGGAATTATTCCGTCGCCAAAGCTTGATTTCCGTAGGGAATCGGCCTAGTGACGCAAACAACGACGGTTTGTATTCTGTCGTTATTTTTTAGTTAGTAATAAGTTTAACGATAGATTATTTAATCCGTCGCTAGGATACGACGGAATTAGCGACAGAATGAGGCGACGAAATTAACGACAGAAAATTTCCGTCTCTAAGATTAACGACGGTTTTAGCTACCGTTTCTGCATTTTGACCATACAGCGACGGAAGTGATATTCCGTCGCCAAATCCGTTGCCAATTTTACAGCACAAATACAGAAAGCAGCCATTTTTTCAATTTCACACAACATCCATAGCAACCTGCACTAGCCCAGGAATCCACAGCATCAGACAACAACAAATACTAGAAATGAAGAATACCAAACAACCAAGAATATTCAAATCACCAAACTACAATTAAAATTCAAACTATATGTATAAAAATTCAACTTAACAATCAAATCTAACTCTACTTACATAACCATCAAACTTAAGTTTAATATAATGTTCTTCAATTCTAATAAAATATTCCACAAGCGCGTGCAAACCCCGTATCTCATCATGTCATCT